ATTGACACCGTTACGATCAGCACAATTTAGAAAATTCAACTATCCGATTTCTAATCAATTCTTAGGTCATACAGTACGCTATTTGAATTCTGGATGATTTGATTTCCAACGATTACCCTCTGGTTACAATTATAGCGAGACTCGCTCGCTAACGAGTGTCCTCAGGTACTTCGACCAGGAGCAGAGTTCATTTTTCAACTTTTTTAATTTTTTTGGATGCCAGCTCATAGAGCTCGACGAGCTGAGTCTAACGGTATAGGATTCCATATGAGAAAGGGATACCCAAATTGAGTTACAGCGAAAAAACGAAAAAAACGCGGATCCGCGTTTTTTTCGTTTTTTTCGAACAATTACGGCGGGTATTGTACACTACTCCGCCCAAGCATAGCCAAACGCTATACCTGCCTGTCTCGCTGATATCTATGTGGGCCCAATGGGTTTCGCTATGAGATCTCTGGTAGCGACGCAAGTGCTGCAGGGCAACTCCATGACTCTTGTCAACTGAAGGGTGATTTCGTTCTCTCAAAGGCCTTGTCAAATCCGAGAAGAGAAGATGGTGTATGAACGCCCTTATATAGTTCCTCAGCTCTGAAGGGATTCAATCTGATCACAGCACAACAATCATCGGAGTGTTCTGAAAAGGAAACAAGAAAAATTAGATGAAGATAGTCTAGCTAGCACTAGTAATAGCAGAATTTAGGATATCCCAGTAAACGAGCACGTCTACATTGTAAAAGCTCGCCTGGCAGGAATTGGCTCGGAGAGAATGAACATCAAGTATTCGTTGAGGGTTAGTCCTTCTTCATCTTCCCCTCCTTTATTCTATCCTTTATTCTAGCCGATCCTTAATCGTTCAGGACTCGATGCATTCATTGCCCTCTCAGCAGCACTTCGACATCGACGAGTCCTCGGGAGAAGTTTACGTGACCAAAGCGCTGGACTATGAGGACACCAAATTTTACACAGTTAGTTTTTTTTTGCTTATTAGGTATTTCGGCTTGTTGAGGATGTAATTTACCTTTGTTTGTTTCATGATTTTGTACTTTCGCTTATGTTATTTATCAGCTGAATTTTTGAATTGCTCGGTTTGGCGCGAGGCTTTGTCGAAGCAGAGCTAGAAGATCGAGTTTGTCAGCAGTGGCAGCCTTAACATCTACTGTCAGTGTCCTGGCAAACGATAGGGCGTGTGACGCGGCGCGTATCCTAGCGTAGCCAGGGTGGCCTTGTTCCAACAATAGTGCCATCCCGAGCTCGCTACGGATAGTGGGAAATCGGCCCTAGTTGCGTTCCAAGCCATGCACCCTCTACGCCGCATCATTTGCAAGGATTATGATTCTACAAGGGATCGTAGTGTAGCCTAGTTCCATGGCCTTTTACGGCGCGATGGCGGTTTTTCTCTGATGGTGTATCAGCATCTTAGCGGATATGCTGGGTTGCAAGTAACACCACTTACCATGTACAGGTTCCTGAGAAGATGTCGCCAGTCAATTCCCACCAAGGGCGACGAAACTTTTTGTTCTTCTGCGGTCAGGCGGTCAGCTAGTTGTACAAGTCCCAGAGGATAACTGTAGCGGCATGTGTATCGGATGACCCTCACTGACCGAATTTCATTCAAAATGCCGCTAAAATGCTGAACGTCAATAGAATTTGTGGCACATGACGGAAAGATGGATTTTCACAAGAGGTCTAAATTATTAAAAGAACTCGGGAACGTGGGGAGGGGGGAGGCAGGTGAAGCAAAAGCACGATTGCGGCTTTCTAGGCCTTAATTTTGCAAATGTATCCTGTTTTCTGGAGTATAAAGCGCATTTTGCGGAGTTACACGCGAGAACAGGCGCAAAGAACTGGTAGACACAGCAAAAGTTTTCCTGTCTTTTTGCATAGTTTGATCTTGCAGTTGTTTCTCAGGTACCTCTTACTGACAGATCATTAATATAGATAAAGTATACAAAAAAAAACAAAAGTAAAGCAAAGAACGAACAACCGCGGCGATCAAAGCAAAGGTGCGCTCCATCTATGGGTGCACCTTATACTCCAGAAAATAGGGTGCGTTCGCAACGAAAATAGTTAACCACCATGAAAACGAACACTGAAGACCTGGCCTCCTTTCATCTTAAGCGCGAGCCTCAGCTGAACAGCGCAGTGTTGCCCCTGGAGGAACATTCTTTGATCAACCACTGGCAATGCTTTTTGAACGTAGAATAACAGATTCCTTACCCCAGACTCTGCTCTTTGTGCGGCCTGAAAACCTTTGAAGCTGGAGTAGCTGTTGCCTGTCTTTCCTTCCACTCAACTGCAGTTTCATTCAAGGGACAGACAAAGTTACTCGAATCTGATTCGAGTATTCCAGGAACACCTACTAAGGCAATGGAAACTTTGCACTCTTCAAGAGTGCACGTACTGGTCCGACTGCTTCTGCCTCAACCTCCCCCCCCCTCCCTCCTTACGATTCCGAGTCCTCTGAAAACTCAGAACATTACAGCAGCTTCAACGCCCGCTCGCTCTTTGAATGTGCCTTCGTGAGGTAGGTTTGGGGACGTAGCAACGGCAACGCCCAGCCCAACGATGAAGATCTCCGCCATTTACTGATCTAAGCTGTCTCAGGCGTAGAAGCTGCTCTGATGTTCTAAGTTTTTTGAGTCTTTTTCTGAGTCCTCTAATTCAGATGTCTTGTGAAAATGAGCCAAGAAGTGCTTTCCGCAACGTCGAAATTCGCTGTACAATAAACCAATACAATTGAAACTTTTGAACGTTGAGCTATTTCACGCTCCAAAAACAATAACTAGCTTCAGAAACATAACCCTTACCCAGGTCACCCAAACATTTCAGCCTAGGAACCCCACCCTGTCGCACTGTCAATGCCGTGCCCTTCTGTGGCAAGGCACGGTTGAGCGCGTTTCGTGAATACGATTATTTTGTCGACTTTCAGATTGTGTATTTGCAAAGCCTTTGTCCTTTTGCGCGCAGCTGCTTTTATGTTTTTTGTTGTTTTTGTTCGTTTCTTGTTTGGTATGTTCGATTTCGTTCGTCATATTTTCTGTTGATCTCTTGCTTCCATGCCTAGAAAGTTTTCGTATGCGAGTCCTTATCAAAAACGGGTTTGTGATCTTGATGGGTGGTCTACAATGACTCGTTGTTGGTGGGTTTATTGGAGCTAACAAGGAAATGACCTGATCTTAGAAATGACCTGACCTGATCTTTAGAAGCACAGAAAGGATGATTCCAATGGGTGCTAGCAGATTTTATTTCACTTTTTCAAAGTAAATAAGCCCACAGGATCCTTGGAAGTGGATGTACACTTATCCCTGAGCCAGAGTAGGCGTGGCATTTGAACATGGCACGGAACTGGTTACTCGTGGAATATTCCAGTCTGGGACAACTGTCATCTTGTTCTGTGTTGGACAGAGACACGACAACAGTTGTGTCAAGATGGAAATATTCCACCAGAAGCATAGACACCTTCAGGTTAAGTTGAAGAATGCAGCCCCGCCTACCCGATCTCAGGGATCTCGAGTAGGCGCGGCATTTGAACATGGCACGGAATGGGTTACTCGTGGAATATGCCTTCATCACATCAGAGGCGCAACCAATTGGCAGAGTACTTCTAGGCTAGTTGAACGCGGCTGCACTCCCACGTTGATACAATTGGGTCCTGATGCCAACGGCACCATTATGCTCCTTTCTCGACGCTATAGCCGTGCACCGGAAGTATTCTACACAGTGGAAAGGCTCAAGGGAGCACGCCCACTTCTGAGTTCTCGAATGGAGGAAAACGGACCTTTTTCCTTTTTTTTCTAATTTGTCGGGTCTTGCGAAGTTACGTTGTGTAGAGAAGCTTCGTGGTGAACGAATTACCAGACTGTGTGCAGGTAGCTCTCCATTCCTTTGAGCATCTCGACTCTCCTTATTCGAAGTCCTTGAACTGGTCAGCTGCTAAAACTTAGTCAAACTCATGAATACCTGCTGATGAAGGCCATTCCGTTCAGCGCTGTTCATTGACCAACGCGCATCTAACGACAGTTGATACGATCTGATGGTCTTACCTTCACTAGACACTGCTAAATGGCAGGGCAGGGAAAGTGCATGCAGGAAAGGCTCTTAACGATCTGGCGTACGTTCTGCTTTATAATGTGGAGCAGTCGCAGTTTATTCTTCTGCTTCATGACATGCTCCATTACCATTCACTCTGATTTGACTGTGGAATTCTAGCCGTTCCAAAACCCATCTCACTCTGGAGTGACCATTCAAGGCAGTTGGCACGATAAATCCCTAAGATGAGCAGGATTGAGACGCCTGGCAGGACGGAATTCCGCGACCCTGAGCAGGCGCTGCGTAGCGCCTTTTCCAAGGAAGGTACCCTTATAAGGGCCCTATCAAGCTACAACATACCGACCCGAACGCCCACCACGCCCGCCCGCCCACAAATGGACGACCCTACATGTACTGGTATTGTTTCAATTGCGAAGTAAAATGTGCAGCGAAGTGACAAATATGAAGCGGTGTGCGGTGCTGCATGGATATATGAGTACATACGTGCAGCCGTATCTACCGTAGCGGTTATTGGCAAGATGCCTACGGGAAACTCGTCCGAAATTCGCTTTTCAAGTCATTAAGAACGAAGGCTTTTCTTCGCAGGTTTTTGACCTTCGTTTTTTGGCATTTTCCCCACTATACAGCGCCCTGCTAGCATTTTAAGGACCAAATTATCGTGCCAACTACCTTTAAGCCGTGAGCGTGCTTACGTAAAAGCCTTCAAAATCTTATCACAAGAGGCATTCCAACTGGGGCATTCCCACTGGGGTTCGGGCAAAACGTTCAAAATTAATCCTACTATACACAAACGCGCCACCATTGCAGTCGCGCACTAATGTCACTGAAATTGATGGACTGTTCCAACCCTTCTTACCAACTCTAATTTCTATTACGTATTTTCTTCACTATTTGATACGTTCCTCCCTATTATATTCTGTTTTCGTATCACAGGGTCCAATCTCAAAACTAGCATTGGCGTTTGGATCTCTGGTGTCCCAAATTTTGAAGTGGAATATTTCGACTCAAAAAAATGTGCTACAGTTTCTCTAGAGGCCAGCACTCACTACTCAGAAACTCGATTTGCCCTGACCCGTTCTGAAAAAAACTCGTCCGGAAACCTCTGTGTACTCTCAGAACACATGAACGAAATAAGTTAGCACTTTGCTCACTAGCGACTGTTTTCGCGTGAGTGTGCGCCGTGCAGTTGACTTGCACTTCGAATCGCAGAGGCATTTGAGAGACGTCTCCCCTTGGAAATGGATTGTTGCTGCAAAATTCTTAGACATGATTTCACAAAAAGAAACTTGCTGTGAATCGTTGACAGCGATCGTTTATGCCCTTTCAGTGAACTCAATGAACTCCGCCGTTCGCTGTTCGTTGACTCTGCGCTTACCGTCTTCCTCCCTACGACCACATGCGACCCCTCGTCAATGGCGATTTAGTTGTGCCCCATACAGCAGTTATATCGCGTCAGATTGCGATGCAACTAGGGGCCGGCTTGTGTGAAGCTGCCAGTTATGAATAGTTCCGTAAGGCGATTCTATCCTAAGCGCTTTCAGCAAAAACAGGCCCCACTTTGGAACAGACGACACCACGAATTATCCCATCAATCCTTATGCCCCACCACTTTGCAGAATCAGTTCGGAACTCATAAAAAACGAAGATGTTCAGGTGGATTCGGAACGCATAACAACTTTGCCTAGTCATCATAATTCTGTCTTTACTTTTTATACAATCCGCATCCTTGAGACGCCGTAAGTGTGGCTGATTACTTCCTGTGAATATGGCGTGTATGGTTTTTTTAACCTTTTTCGTATACGGTTGTTTCAATTCAAAACGACTGTCGGTTTGTCTTGTGTTAGACAAAGACATAATCACGATCCGGAGGAACAAATGTTGTTCTTCCGGAAGGGCAGATGCCAACGCACTCAAACAGTGTGCGCAGCCACGCCTATCGCACCTCAGAGATTTGGACTATGCAGTATCGCTAGACGTCAAAACAGGCTAAAAATTGACCTCATCCTGCAGTTTTGTTGGGTTTACTTGAACTTTATGAAAGAATATAAAAGAATATATCAAAAATATCCATAGGAGTTGTTATTACAATTTGAAGCAAACATCGAAGTACATTTGAACGAGAAGAACTAGTTCTCGCAATCAAAAGTCAACAATAGGTCGATGATGAAGTGGCTATGCCAAGGTCTGGACCTGAATTACATCAAGCACCTATGGGTAGGGTACAGCATCGTTGGGTAATTTCCATCAGGTAGGGGTAGGCGTATTTGGCCGTTGGGGAGGGTCGTATCTGGTCTTGACAGGAATGTTTTCGAGCAGCGAGAGGAAAAAAGGAAAAAAAGAAAAAATCCTTGACTTTTCGCGGTTTCGTTTTCTTCTTTTATTTCATATATTCATATATAGGTTGGAAGGAAAGTCCTGTCAGTGTTTTTTGAAAAGCTTACAGTTTTTGATTCTCGATGCTCGTACATGACGTAACATGCTATGCTTGTAGGACACTCTGGGAGCTTTCCTGCAAGAGGCGTGTGAGGGCGCCTGCTCTTCCCTGGGTTTAATTACGATGTCAGTTTCACAGGAGCATCTTCGGAGTCATCATCTTCTATCAGTGGCCCCGCGGCACTGGAGCCACGGCAGCTGTCCGTAACATCAATAGTGCATTGAGGGAGGACACCACTACCTACAGGATCGTTCACTTTCAGTTCGCTCGCTTCACGAAGAGAGACTCGATCCTCGAAGGCAAACCTTGGTTGGGACGGCCCCAAGAAGTATAAGACTCCACCATTCTCGAAGCAGACAAGGGGGATCCAGAGGCTACCACCCGCAGTCTTGCGACAAGACTCGGATGTACCTAACTGACAGTCGTCCACCGCCTGTAAGCCTTTGACTACCAAGAAGTACTGGCTTGATGGATCATTCATACCTTGACCGATGGCACGCTGTGCACCCGGGTACCCCTTGGTCAGTCTCCCCTTCTCTGCCCTCGTCAGAAGGAGTTTCCGGGAGACTGCTTAGTGGGGATGAGATGGGTCCTCTATGATTTCAACCCACACAGTACCGTTTGTCTCTCTCAAGGAGAAGATCCATTCTAGCAGTCCAAACCGGGCATGTATTCCGAAAAGGTTCTCCTGTGCTGCTCCTGGGACGCGAGGAGGTGC